CCCCCCCCCCCCGCCCCAAAGACAAGATCAAAGCCAAACAATTTCTCACATCACCGTATTAAAAGCATCTATGGTTTACATAGAAATAGCTTGTTTAGAAAAAGAGAAAAGATTCTGCCCATCATTGCCTCAGTATGACGAAGGAAACTCTTCATTTCAGGCAATGATAATTTTTAAATACTCCTAAATATGTGCATAGAAAGACATCATGGAGAAAAGCACTATCATCAAAGCATCTAATCATACAGGCCCAGTATATTGCCATAAGCAGCTTTTATTTTTTTACAGGAAGATTTAATAAACAGAAAATTTACGTGTGTCTGATTCCTTTCTCCACTTTGGTATCAGACCTGGTTTTCAAGCTCACTCTGTTCCAGCAAAATACAGCCAGCTTCACAAGATCACAGTGATAGCTGTTGGATAACAAACATGAATGAAAAGCCATGATTTGGATGAAAGATAAGTCTTTTTAAACTAAAATCAGTCTACCAGAATAGTTTTTATTGTGTAATCGCTTTCAGTATTCCTCGGAGAACTTTGTAACTCATTAATTGTTGGCTTTCTTTCGGAGGAAAGCAGGGTCCGCGTTCTGTCACGTATGCATAAGGAAATCTAAGCACCCAGAGTCCATCAGATGGAAGGGTTATTTCCTGCTTCTCAGGGTAAAATACAGGACAAGGTGGTGGCCCTGGTTGAACCTGGAAAGAAAAGGAAATAAGTTGATAATCAAAATATCATTAGAATTAAAAAAACAAAACAACCAAACTGAAGAGCAAACTGAACCCAAGGAAGTCTATTAAGCCCTGCCTACAACCACGCTCTTAGCTACTTTAGCACACTCCAGGAAACCGCCGCGCCTTTATTGTGAGACATCCATGAACTTCCCATTTTATCACAGTGAAGATGCTGAATTTAACATTGTAGATTAGGTCCTACCAAAGAGATCCACAATACAAACACAAGGCATTCACCTCTCAGGCAGTAGCGAACCCCGTGTTAACAGTGGATTTCAACACCATAGCACAGATATCCCTGAGCTATTACCTCACTCTACATCAATGTGAATTTGCAATGATTTCAGCAATGTTTAATATAGTTTTTGTATAATTCATATTAAAAGATTCAGAAAATCTTATTCACACAAGAAACTGATGTGTAAACCCACAACACAAAGCATAATGGATTTTCCAAATAAAAACACACCCTTAGGAGTCACAAGCTGTGATACAGGTGTAAGCCAGGAACAAAGAGCAAACTCAGTATCAGCACAAACTGAACCTTCAGTTCTTGCCTCAGTTCCAAACAACAACATGATAAATTGCAAACCACATTGAAATTTTGGTGTTGGTGTCAGGTTTCAGTCAGTATTCTTCCCTTAACTTCTAAAACAAAGCAGGTTCACATCTGAGTAGTTGAAGGTGTCTCATGAAAGAAGCCAATTTCGTTGGTTTGTGATTCAGCATTAAGGATCTTGTGGCACTTCTCAAACACCTAGAAGGATTACAAAACATCCCAAATCTGCCTCCTCCCTAACTCATACAGATGCGTTTTCTGCTGACTGTTGTTACTCAGGGACACTACTATACAATGAACACCAATTTTCTTGCCATAGTCTAACAAATACTAAGCACTTCTGTGCACACATTATTTCGTAGAGCAGTAATTGAAAGAAGATACACTTGTTCATATTCTACTACCTTAAAAAGTAAGAAAGTATAAATGGAGCTTTTTCTCCATTTTTAAAAATACACATTTGAAAATGGGAAAAAATCTCCAGTTAAAAAAAAACCAACACCTTTTCACCTCCTCAATTCAAAAGGTCACTAGTAATAAATACTTAATCTCAGCATAAGTCACTGCTTTTCTCTATGACATTTAAAAATGATAAGTTCATTCTTACACAGTCATTACTCACTGGTTATCTTTTTAAAAAGAAGCAATTATTACAGTATGGAGTGCTATTAATTCATCCTTGATAAAATATTTTTTAAAACTTACTTTGTACAAAGTACAAAGCATAAGCCAATCTTTAAGCGTAAAAAACCCAAACCCGTTTACAGAACCGATACTTTTGGCAACTGCTGCCCGAGAGAACGTGACTGAAGTTGGTTTGAGTTGGAAAGAGTTTCTTGCAGCATCCCTCTGACACACTTTGTGCCTATCACCCTTGTGCCTTCTAGTCCTGCAATTAATGTTGCAACAACCAACCCTTTCTCTGGAGTTCCCGGATTCCCTCTTCCATTTCTTACCTGAGGCGTTAACGTGATCTGCAGTGGAGCATCAGGAACCACCACAAAGAGCCTCATGAACTGCGCGTAATGTGGCTTGAGTCCTCGTCCCTGAGTCGATGACAGAATGTACAGCGGCATGTCAGAATTGAGGGCTTTGATGGCGGATTCCTTCGGCCCCCCTCCCATCACTTTCATGACCTTATCAGGCCCTGAACACATGAACCTCCTACCACGTGCGTCTTCATATTCAAATCCTACAAAAGCTCGAGCTATGTCATCTCTGCGTCTTCCTCTTCCCATCACAACCGCACTTCTTTTTCCAGGAACAGCCTTGTTAGGCGCAGGCCAGGAATTGGTATCTAAGTCTCCTTCATCTTCAGTTCTTGTCCTGATGACAATGTCCCAGGGCATTAAATAGTTTGTTCCTGGGATAAAGCCTTGTTGATCTAAGCCTGTGTGGAAGTTATAAGCCTTAGCAGGCCCCAGCTTAACCAGTGACCAACTGGAGAATTTGGGCAAAAGACCTTTGGGGCAATTAGAATGGAGCATCCCAGGTAGGTACTCAACCGTGGATGCCTGGCGATCGACCAGGCTTGGCCTCTTCTCACTTTTGGAGTCCCCACTCTGCCCATGACTCTCTGCATTCTCCCCTCCACCCTGGGCCTCAGGAGGGTAAGTGCCCAAGCTGCCCGTCGACTGACCCAAGCTGAGGGCCAAGCTCAGGCCTGTGCTTTCTCCCTGAGTCTGAGGTTCTTTTTCTTTAAGCTTCTCAATCTCGCCTTCAGGAGGGGCTGGTGATGACTCATCCCGAGCAGGTGCCGGATCAGGTGTGCTTGGCTGAAATACAGGAAAGTTGATGTGCTCCAGTTTCCCACAGCATTTTTCTTCCAGCAGCTACAAGAAACAAAGCATGATTAACTTTCTATCTTCCCTCTCTAAGATGGGGGAGTTCAGAGTCATAACATTCAACAGCTACAATCAAGATTCAAGAGGTTTGCATTACATGAGAACCAAAGCAGGGATGGGAATACAGCCCACAGACATGATGGATTTAAAATTCACATGAATCAACACACTTGAAATGTAAATAGGTGCTCCTGTGTGCATGCACAAGTGAGGACTGGAACTGCCCACTTTGGTTTGCCCATCACACAAACAATTTCTTCGCACAGAAATATCTCCCCGAGCAACATTTACAAGTTGATAACGTTAAAAGGAAACTTACTTTAGTCACTTCAGAATACAGACTTTGTTGCTGAAGCAAAAGCACTGCTTGCAGCAAAAATAGAGACCTAATAGTTACCTGGTAAAAGTCATAATTAGCTGCTTTGATATCAAAGGGATCATCCCGAGGAGCTTGTTTCCTTCCACAGTTACAGGCACCAGTAGAACGAGCTCGGCTGTTGTGATACAGAACTGGAGGATTTCTGTCCGCTTCTGGCTTTTCCCCTGAAAGCAATAGTCAAATCAAACCCTAGATAAATCGCTCACCTTTTCTACAGATTCTTTAATTCCCTTCATCCACTGCTTCCTCCTTGCTATATACAGATGCAAAATTATTTGCCAGTAATTCTAGTTTGCCAAGCAACTCCCCGCCTTTCCCACTTTGAATACGAAGTTCCAGTGTAGGTTATACCACTAAATTGAATCTTCTTTGTTTTTACCATCTCTTCCTAAAAGGCATAAAGAGTTCTTCTGCCTGCAATAAATGTAACTCAGTTTCTATTCCTTGACTGACATCAATCAAGCTATTTAAAAAAAAAAAAGGGGGTGTGTGTCACTTATGCTTCATAGAGAGAACTTTTGTTCTCTTATACATCTTTTGTTAGGACTCCAGTGAAATATCTTTAATTAGCAAGGCGGAATCAAAGTTACTACTAAAATCAAAGTTATACTAACAATGCACTCACTCCTGAACATTACTCAACATAAGGGAAACTTGCACAACAGCTCTACTATCATTAATCCCACTGTACAAAGATGAAGTTTTAAACCTGACAAGCTTTCATCTTCTATAAACATGCAAGAGTCACTGTTTTCAGCCTAAGACAAGCCATTTTAAAGCAGATACAAAATTAAACCATGAAACCCAATTACAAGTGAGCTGCTTTACCTGCTTTTGGGAGCAGATGAAACTTATGCACACAGTGCTGGTCAGTTAAACTTCGCTCTTCGCAAAGCTGATGCCCATTGCTCCAGAACTTGTAACAGTCCTCGTTAAGCTGCATGGCATACTTATGAAAGGCTGGGCCGCGGGCATGCTGACTGTACACGCGCAAGGCCTGTGCCAACTGGTTCTTATGGACCGTCATGGTGTAATTGTGGGGCAGGTTGGATTGATAGGCGCTGTGGGCCATGGGGAGAGCTTTCTGGCAACGGTTTTCAGAGAACTTGGTGTCTATATCTAAATAGCCTTCCAAGACTTTGATGCTGCCCATGATTTTTGAGCTCAGCTCCCCAGTGAGTGAGGTCGGGTCATCATCTTTGGCTTCAATGGTAACTTCATAGAGTTTTAAAGCTGCAGCAACCCATTTCTGGTAGGTTGGGAGCTCAAAGTGAGAGGGCTGCGGGTTTCTCCCCACACTGTCATCAAAGCCCTTCTTGCTGAGCACCAGCTCCACATGCTGCCACAAGAACTCCTTGAGGGTGCAGTCCACAAGCTGTCCAGAAGAGCTGGAGCTGCTGCTCTCTGCATGGAAGGACAGCTGCTGCCTGCCGTGCCGCATCATCTGATACCGCCTGGGTCCCGACAGGGTGGGAGCCAGCAGAGAGTCGGTCTCTCTCATGGTGCAGTTGTTCCTGAGCTGGTCGAGAAGCATGGCCACCGGATCATCTCCGTCCTGGGCCCCACCAGCCACAATGTATACAAAGGCCTGGTTAGCAGGCACGGTGAACAGGCAGTTGATGCTCTGGTTGGTTAGTACCCTGCTCTTGCGGAAGATGCGGTAGATCTGGTCCTCCAGAGCATGCTGCAACCTCCTCTTGGGGGAGTGCTTCTTGGGGGGTGGCTTTTCCAGGTGCCCACAGGGGTCTTGGCCCCTGCTTGGGAGGGGATCCACCTTCAGGGCCCCGTTGAGCTGGAAGAGGAAGAGAAGGCGTGGAGGGCATGGCCTGCAGTTGAGCTTCCACTCCTTGCCGACTGGGCAGTCTTTGATGGCAGCCTTCAGGGAGGGCAGGACCTTCTGCCGCAGCCCATCCAGTGCCCTGAAGACACGGTCATAGGTGATGTCAAAGGAGCAGGTGGGGTGCACCAGTAGCAGGATGTGGCAGACAGAGAAGAGGTAGAGGAGGCTCAGGCAGTGCAGCTTCTCTTGGTGCTTCCAGAACTCGTGGGCCTCGGCAT